CCAGCAGCCATCAAACCTTTCAAACCTTCCACCAACTGCACTCGTCCCCGATGTAAGAAGATTTCTTCACATCGATTCCTTTCCCGCCGTGAGAAGAGCTCGTGTTCCAAAATACCCTCACCTTCTCCTTCCCCCATAAAATCTCACTCGAAATATTCCCCTTCGCGCGGGCGAAGTTTTGAATTTCGATAATGATCTTGAAAATCTTCGAATCCTACGAACGAGGAAAAATAAAATTTGATCGACAAAATTATTTAAAAAAAAAAGTGTAAGGTCGTTTTTGGATCGAAGATCCAAACATTTCAATGAATTTCACTTGTTCCTCTATTTTCTTATTTTTGAAGAAGCTGGAATTTAAACGTTTAAAGATTCTTGAGTCGGAGCCAAAATTAGAAGGCTTTTGAATTCTAGTTTAGAATATCTAGTATATCTGTTGTCTCCTGGTATTCCTGAGGTACTCTTGGGATTTCTTCAACTCGGGTTAGATTTCGAAGCAGTGGTTTGATATCACTAGGATGTTAGAGAAATTTCCTTGGGATCATAAATCGTTAAAACTTTGTTCAAGACTTACCACCTACTTTCCTGTATTCCATGGTTTGGAGTAAAAATTGAAACAATGAGAATGTTTCGTATCGTGATGTTTGAGATACGTTTCATTTTGATAATTCACATGTTGGTTATATTTATGACACGTCGGATTGATCGCGTTGGAAGAACAATAATTCAGATTGACGGGGGCTCTAACTCAAACTGGCGGATTTATTTTTAAAAGCGAACATTTGTCCCACGTCGACACCATTCTATAAGTCACAGAAGAGAGATATTGTAAAAATTTTTATGGATAGCAAGTATTTGTCTCGTTTTTCGAAAATAATTTTGATGGTTAAAAATATGGTTAAAAATATCAAATTATTAAAGGATGAGTGAATGATTAATTGTAATCAATAATTTAAATATTTATGGGTTTCAATAATTCTAAGATATATTTATATAATTAAATTAGTGTTACAATTACTTGAACTTCATTGATTAATAAATCAATTTCGACTCGAATATTCTGTTTAATAAATATTTGTTCACTTCTAGTTCGTTACGTTAAAATGTTTTCTTTGGAAGATTAGTAATTTTGATAGGATTCGCATAACAATCATTATTAAATCAAGGAATATAACTTTCTCAATTGCCTATCATCTCTCTTCAGTTTACTGATTAAATATTGAATTCAAAACACTCGAAACTATCCTATTTTCCTTCAAACACTTCACTATCCCTGTTTCTAATAAAAAAATAAAATAATAAAAATCTGTTATCTGCAATCAATACAGAAATTGTTATAACCCTTCATCATTCCGATTCAAACATTATAGAACATACCTATAACTCTCATTCATTCTCAATTCAATCTCAAATCTAATAATTCCACCTCATTACCCAATCTATCCATATAAATTGAAAGAAACCCACTAAAATAAATCCACCCAATCATTAAAAAGTCTCATCGAATGAGCTGACCTCATTAAATAACGTCCAACCTAACCTAACCTCAAACGAGAGAACAAAAACTTCACACCTAGCATTGTGATCCCTATACCTCAATCATTTCGAATTCTAGGTCCAAAATTCTCGAAATATCGTCAAAATTCTCGAAATATCGCCAAAATTCCTTTATTTTTGATCCTCTCTCTCTCTCTCCCTCTCTCTCTCTTTCTCGATCAGCTGTTTCGCGATTTCATAGACACAATGGCCACCGAAATGCTCGCTATGGCTCCTCAAACACTCGTAATTCTCTGGATCGATAAGCAGGGGAGAGAGAGAGAGAGAGATAGAGAGCTCGAGAACTGATGATTCGTCATAATTCCTAACGATCGATTTTCTCCGTTTACGGAGAATCGAACGCGCATTTAATCTTTCACAATGACGGTAACTGGTGGTACTCCAAAAGATGCGAGGGGAGGGGGGATCCTTTTTCTAACAATTTGGCGACGAGTCGCGGGGAGGAAGAGTCCTTTGACGGATTCATGGAAACGTGGCGTTTTTAGATCAGAATTATTGTGATTTCTTCGTCCTCTTTCGTAAGTTGGTGAGAGTCCAAGTTTGGTTTTTGGTTTGAATGAACTCTGGATTCGATTCTGAGCGATGGTGGGTTTTGAGATTGGACGATTCGATCGGTTGAATCATCTTCGTTGAAGATGAGCGAAGATTTTTTTTTTTTTAATTTGTTAAAGTATTCTGCAAATGGCTGTTGGATGAATCACTTCTCGAGTTAAAATATTCATGCGATAGAGTTTTTTTTTTTTTTTTTTTATCTCTGTTGAAGTCATCCGTATGATGCAATATTGGATGTTATCGCAATGAGAAATACGAATCTAGTATGTTTCTGGTATTTTCAACGTATAATGATTCGCAAAGTTCGAAGTTGTGATCAATTCCTCGATATTTTTCAAGTTTAAAGGTGTCATCCTCCTGTCACTTTCAATAAATCTAAAACTTATCATCGCTATCTTAAGGTGAAAGTTGAATATTTTCCATTTTTCAAAAGTGTCAATCTCTTTTACACATTTTAAGTTTCTGGAAGCAATAAAGGAATAGAAAGCAATCTCTCGAGTACTTTCGAACTTCACACAAAGTTTCGATCAAAACGAAATCCTCCCAAATTCAAATCGTTCTTTCAAACTTTGTATCATCATCTCTTAGTACTCTTCTTCTATTTAAAACTCGCTTCTTTTGAAAACTGAGATCGAAAAATTCGAATTCACACAATTCGATGTTATCCAAATTGTTCTTCTTTTACAACTCGATCCTCAGAAGTTAAATATTTTAAATATCATTATTACAATTTTTTTCGATTCAGAATCGATATGAATTTTTCTGGATTTTATTCTCTCCCAACTCCCTTTCACAGATTCTCTTTTCAGAAACCCAATATTCCTCTTTTCAATAGTTTCTACTTAGCCATTTGAATTTGGACTTTCGGTGAAACTGGTTCCCAAATCGATTGACTGGAAAATTCAAAGGATTCAACACACAATTGAATCCTCGATATATTACGCATTCAAGGAGGAACATCGATTGCACCGTTGGACTTGAGATATTTGAGAAATCTATGACGTTTGGACGTAAAAATAGGAAATTTTTAGATGAAAGTTTCAAAAGGCATGTGTTTCCTTTTCTTCGTATAATAATATGGATGATCATCGAATGGCGGTGGTCATTTCTTTCCTATTATTGATCGCAAGAAACCATCTTTAATTCAAATATTCAAAATCTAGAAAAAGTTTTCAGATTCGTAATTTTCGTATTTTTCCATGTATCGAGGAATATTTCGTTATTCTTTCATTTTATATTTTATTATTCTTTCATAAAAAAAATAAATAATAAATAATCTAAATATCGATCAATTTCAGAGATTGATAATTCTTATTTTTTCTTTTTATTTCTTTGGAGAAATTCAATATGGATAACTTCGAAGGTTCTCTCGATTTCATTTTTCATTCCGTTATTTTTCTTCAAATATTGAACTAACTCGAAGAATTTTTTTTTTTTAGATAAACAATAATTCCCTCCTTCTGAATATTTAAATATCGATCTACTTCAAACATGTGTTTGCACACAATTTTTATTCCTTCCGAATGAAAAAAATTCAACAAATGTTTATCGATCTCAAAGATTTTTAAATAACATTTATCGTTCGTGATGAAAACTTTAAAGATAACTTTTGATTAATATGGATGTGAATAGCTTCGTTTCCAATTCAAATTTTATATTTTTAAAGATACCAGTTTTTAAAGATGGAAGATGAATAAAGATGTAATTAAAGCTTGATTGTTAAATGAATTTCTTGATATAATTTCTTCCTCAGATGGAGGATACTTGATTATTGAAATTTTGAATAGCACGATCTTATTGTTTTATCAAGTTTCGGGTAATATAATATCGTATTTGGTAAGTTAGGAAAATTATCTTAAACTGGTCGAACAAAGTTCATCATCATTCCACTCGAGTACTCGCGGCTTGGCGCATTTGTCACTCTAAAAAAAATCCGCCTGCTTATCGTTTGCCAAAATAACGAGCTCTTCGTGTTCCAAATATCAGAGTTCGATCCTTCATAACTTTAGCCAATTCCTACTTCATCGAAGTATTCGTAACCATAAATCAGATTTCAACTTTCTTAACATTGTTGGAATATATCGTGTGTTCGAAATGTAGAGAGGTTTGTTTTAGTGTTTTTTAATATTTAATATATTTTATTTATATTAATTTATAATATTTAAAATTATATTAATTATTATATTATTATTATATTTTATATATATAATAATATATAATATATATATTATTTTTAATATTTAAAATATTGTGTCAAGTATCATAAAAATGATTGTGTTTATTTTAAATGATTTTTAAAGATATATATCTTAAAACATTCCTGTCTTCCTCTTTTCGAATTTATCATTTTCTACTTCCTTCAACATCTATTTTTATTTTGCATTCTATTCATCGTTTCCTACTTTTTGTTATATTTCATACGTTTCATACGTTCCACTTTTCATTCTTACAATTTCCTACATCCACTTTCTTATTTCCTATTTTCCAATTTCAATATTTGTGTATTTCTTTGCTCCTCCATTTCCTTGCTTCATATTTGTATTTATCTTTCCTTTCCAATTTTTACCATTCCCTGTTCACCATAATTCTCATTATTCGTTTTCCACCTTGCATATTAAATATGCAAATTTCATTTTCTACGCAACAACCCTTCACCTTTCACCACCAACTTTCCCCATATTTTTTCAATCTCAGAGCCACTTGAATCGAAATCACATTTAATCTTTACCAAACCTGCCTCCACCCTCCAACACTCAAACACGGTAAAAAGTTGAAAAAGTTGAAGCACTTTTTCAAGTTAAAGTCGTCGAATCGAAAGATCCGTCACTTCCTCCACGAGCCGGTTCCCGGTTCAAAGGACTCTTCCTCCTTTGCTCGAGAACACCAGATCTCACCTCGAGAACGTCTCCTAAATCCAGTTGGAGGCGCGTCGCAGGCGAGAAGAAGCGTAGGAACAGATCGTCGAGGTATCTTGAGGCGGAGCAGGGGGCACGAAACGTCTCATTGCCGCGCGCGAGCGACGATCCACCGCGCGAGAAACGATCGAGGATCAGCCGCGCTGATCCGCTCGAGGTCGCGCGTGCTGTCGCACTGAGTGAGCGTCGTCAAGCTGCCCTCCTGCGAACCCAGACCACCGCCGCGAGCATGCTCCCTCTCTTTCTCTCTCTGTTCGCGTTCCGCTCTACACCGCGTCATGGTTCACGCTTCCTTCGATTCGAGACCAAATTTCGATCGTGATGGATACTGGATTAGACAAACGAACCTAATGGTGGAAATGGTATTTGGAAGAGGAAGATCGGTGGTCCGATTGGTGAAACGTGACGTTTTTGGGTTTGATGAATATCTTAGGTTAGGATCGATCCGAGATCGGTTTTAAGTTAAATTTATTGTTGGAATTTCGAATATTCGATATTTAGAATTCGAGCGCCTATTGTAGAGCAACCCATCAAGTACAAATCGCTTCGAAATAATTATTGGTTTTTTATTTCAGAGAAAAGATCAGTGGTCTGATTTGTGAAACGTGACGTTTTTGGGTTTGATGAAT